CTGCTGCTGCTGCTGCTGCTGCTGCTGCTGCTGCTGCTGCGGCGGCGGCTGCTGTTGTTGTTGTTGTTGCTGCGGCTGCGTGTTTTGGTCGTCCCCGCCTCCGGCAGCTGAATTTGGAGGACTGCCGTGCCCCAAGTTGCCTTGAATGGCCGTCGCGGCGTCCGCCGCGGCGCTCGCGCTCGCCGGTTGCCCATCATTGCCGTCCATCCCAAAATCGATCAAATCCTAGGCGGCACTCCGTGTTTGCTGCTCCTCAAAGCTGCTATCTCTGCTACACCTCTCCTTCTCTCAAATGCACTTGCTTGTCTCTCGCCCAGCGAGAGCACAAAAACTTTCTGACGCCAGGGCTGTCTCTATTTTTCTTCGATCCCCGCTTTTCCGAATTCCAACACGCCTCCAAAAACAACAGATTCAAATACGTACTGAATCTTCACGATTCGTTAGGTACTTTGAGCGTGATGTGCGTGAACCGTGACTTTATTCCGTGGCCGATTGACGAGCTGAAGCACGCCCCCGATGAATTATGAAGACCGGTCCGGGAAATGATCCAAATATTTTCCAGGAACGTTCGCACACGAAAGCACACGTATCGCAGATCGCAGGGGTGCCTCTCATTCCCAGTTGTTTGGGCAACCAAGCGCCGACACGTCAAACAGCAGGAAAGAGAGAGCACGTTTCGCAGCACTTCAGGGGCGACCCGGCTGTTTGACAACCGGGGCTTGGTAGCAGCGCGGCGCACGCCACAAGTGCCGTCTTGTGTTTGTCGACGCGCTTTGTTACCGCAGCGGTTTTCCTCTTGTCTCCCGTGGGTACAGCAGTGGTCGCCATGTCTTCGCCGGCTCGCATGGCCGCCGATCCGGCGGCCGCGTCCACCATTGCGGCAGGGGCAGACTACGCCGTCGTCCAAGATCCCATCCCGGTGCAGCGCGGCGACTCCCGCGTCATGAATCTCGAGCGGTGGTGGGTGCTTCCAGGTCCAAGGTCGTGCGCGGACACGAAAAACCTGTCCGTGTTGATGGCGGTCGTGCAACCACACTGGTAGACGCGCACGACTTCGAACCCAATCCCATATTTCTGGATCCGTGGTCGACGGCGCGTGACGCGGGCGGGAACGGAGCGGAGATCCACGCGCGCCAAGATTGCTCTGATCCACGCTACGCTCGAGTATCTCTTCAAGTGGTTCAACCACGGGGACCTCCGCGTGCTGCCCGACGCTGTGTTCTTGCCGTCTGTGTATTCGTCAGCTCCTCCTGCGGCCCAGCCCGTGGTTCCGTCGGTCCCCGCGCCGGCCGCCGGCTCGCCCGCCTCCCCCCCGCGCCCGCAGCGTCAGCCGCCACAGCAGCCGCTACATCTTCTGCAGCCACCGCTACGACCGCGACTTCAGGGCCCGCAGGAGCGCCGGTGAGTCACCCGGAGGTCGAGGAGGGTGCGAAAAAGCGGGCCCGCACGGATGGAGTGGAAGGAGTGGCTGGCAGTTCGGTGGCGGGAGAGCCCTCCAAGAGGATGGCAGTAGGAGACAGCGCGGGAGGAGTTTGTCCGTTGTTCGTGGTGTCGGTGCAGGCGCAGGTGAGTTTTATTTTCCGCTTGGGTCTGAGGTTTTGCGACGGCCTGCCTGTAGGGAGGCGCATTCGGCGCGAGTTAAGAAAGCAAAACGTCTTCGCTCAGATGCTCAGATGCCCTTGTACACCAGACCTGTCGCTTGAGGTCGGCACAATGCACAGCTGTGGGGATCACGTACGTCATCTTCAGACAAGCGAGCACGGAGGCGTCAGATATACCGCCGGGCATGCCACCGGGCGCGACGATCAGTTGGTCGAAGAGGAGCCAGTACAGTTGGAGGCGTGAGGCAGAGCCGTCGGTGTGTTTGGTCTTCGATCGTTGATTTTTTCGCGTCGCGCGCGTTGTTGTTGTTGTTGTTGTTGTTGTTGACTTCACATTAAACCGTATGCCAGTTGCTAAATGCCAAAATCTAGCAAAGACTCTCGGCCCGTGGTCACGAAAGTGCTGGAGCCATCTGAGGATCTAAAGAACACGCACACGTAGCAAGAAAAAGGTGTACAAGAGCCCGAAGAGGTACTACTACACCTATATATAATCCCTGCAGCACCGTACGCGTGCCCAAAACTGAACTACACGTCCGTCTC